AATTTCTAAGAATGGAAGTAGGAAATTGTTAATTAAAGTGGCGGAGGTACTAGGTAGTGTATGGGAATCAGAATTGGTGACGTCAAAATGGTCTACTTTACTGACCACCCCCAGTCTATTGAAAGAAAGATCTTCTTGCGACAACTTCAGAAGCATCAGTTTGATCACATTAATGCCCAAGATCCTTGGTTTCATAGTTATCCAACGCTCAAGAATAACAAACTCGAGAAAACTAGGCAGGTTTTAGACCTCAACAAGGTTGTGCCGCTCAGATCCTCACCCTTCGAGATATTCTGGAACACAAGCATAATTACAAGCGGTCGATACCTGCCATATTTGTTAACCTGAAGGTGGCATTCGACCCTGTCAGTCGTACGGTGTTGTGGCCGCGTTTGACTATGAAGGGAGCAAGTACGTAATCCCAATCATAGCTCTCTACTCAGACTCACACAGTGGTGTTAGTTAAGGCTTATGGAGAATTGTCAACATAATTGACGACAACTAGTGGTGTCCACCAGGAATGCTCTCTATCACCGTTTCTATTTAACTTCGTTATAGGCGCACTAATGGATATAAGCTTATGTACCTGTAACTTTGCAGAGACTGATTCTAGGTTGTTACTTTCTAGGTGAATACTGATAGTGATACCGATTATACATACGGAGCTCTATATCTCCATATATGTTATTTCAAATAACTATGAGAATGGGAGAATCAACCTCAAGTATTTTACGATAAGACCCTTCACTAAGGAGAACAACCATAAGTAAGTATCAAACGTATCTCAATTCCATCCTGACACAAAAGAGACAAGAGCTTTCATCCTTACTTATGTATGAAATGTCAAAAATAGTACCGAAGATATCATTGACACATTGTTATTCTCTGAATATTTCAAAGGAAATATTCATCAACCAACCCGAAATATAATATATACTTACCGCTTGAAACCGTATACTCGTGAATACTATGAGTGGTTAAAAACCGCTCATACGAATCTCTAAGTTTCGCAAGCCAGATCACAGTTTTTTCCTTATAAATTTGTAGGGAATATCGTTCATCTTTTATAAGATCGCATAGGTGTTAAATTTGCCTCACAATCCTATTATACCTCATTAAATGTGCAATTTTTTGGCATAAATATGATCAATAAGCTAGTAGTATTATCTTACGCTGCGTGACCATCGAAAATCTTATCATAAGATCAAGAAAGAGTGGAGTTCAAAATCAGTCTATAAAAAATAGAATGTTATCCACTTTCTCATCCAAGCCTATTAACATTTACATTTTTATGAGTTTTGAAGTGTAAATTAACGGTGTTCATTGATAAACAGAAATCAAGTGAGTACTTATTGACTTCAGTGTCATTTTCGATAGTATAACTCTAGAATTTATTTTAATTTATCCTGGCATTTTAGACAATCTGATGAGGTTTAAAACCAATAAGTCTTCTAGATTGATTCGGTTCGAAGGATTGTGGGTATTTTACTGATTCCAAGTTAATATTCATCATGGGCTGACATAAGTTGGAGAACCACTGAAAACCTAGGAGCACCTGACAGCTGTCCCGTCCCAGTATGGGACTCCTCAGCAGTGCGCACCCGCGATCCCACCAGGGATTGAACCCAGGAGTGAGAAAATGTAATCCATTGGGTTCCGGCCCAGTGGTTTAACGGTAGCGTGCTGGTTACAAAACATGGAGATCCTTGGTTTGACCATGATGGGGTCTTGAGTGCGCACTGCTGAAGAGTCACATACTAGGACAAAACAGCTGTCCAGTGCTCCCGGGTTTACAGTGGTTCTGCAACTGGTGTCAGCCCATGATGAATACTAAATTGGAATCTTATATAGTTTCTATACCACAGTGAATCGTTACTAATGTTTACGAGCTGTTTCCTGATAATGTACGTGGTAAGATGAGATCTAAGAATAACAGGTGGACTTTTACTGACTGTAGTGTTTAGTAAACACTTGTTCGGTACCATTTTTGTGAAACAACCAGATTAAGTAATTCTTTTACAGAATTCTGCCATCTAATTTGCACCTATGATTAAAAAACTATATGATAGTGATACACGTTGAAGTTGCTTCTCTTTCATAAACGAGTACTGACCTAATGTCGCATTTCTGATCCACTCACCTTCATGAAGCTCTAACAAATATCTGCATGCACAGTTGAACTACTCAGATTTTATCAGAATATGGTCAAGTTAGTTAGTGGCGTATTTTTTTATCCGACCTGACTATACACGATAATATATTTTTTTTTATAGCAGCGGAGTTTTGTGTTAGCTTTCAGGAGTTGCTTATGTTGCCCATTCAAACTTCATAAACAACTTATCAAAAATATCAACAACCATAATAAGGATATGTTCCATTCCAGTTAAATCTAGTTCACAAAAATCACCTTCAGTGACGTTGACTAGTCCTTTTTAAAATTTCTAACAATAATTTTTATTTCATAATCTGTATATATTAACAAACAGGTTTAATATAAATAACAAATTAAAATACTCCAGATAAAGGACAGCATCACAGAAATTTTACAACAACATTACACTAAATGATTCTTTAGTGACTGATCGTAATACTCAACACTACAACAAGTAGAAAGAAGAATGCTGTCATAAAAATAAAACGATTCAGAATTAATTTGTGCTTGAATAAAATAATGAACATATTAAAATCTACTCGTAGAAAAATGAAATCAGATAATCACCAAACAAACCAATATAATATATAGTGAATTTAAGTACTACATACTTGTGTGCGTGTGAATAACAAAATATTGGATACTTTTATTCAACTTAGTGACTACACTGTATTTGAATGACGAAGAACCTGAAAACTCTAACTTCAAAGTCTGTTCTGTGAATACTTTGAAGCATTTAATAGAAACACAAAAAAATTTATCGTATTTGAGGTCTGCTACATATCAGTTGCTTCTGATAACTACGAATTCATAAACTTAATATAATAAGTAGGTGATATGAAATGATGAAGATTTGCATCTCAGGCTAAAGATGATAATTTCATGGCGTTCTTGTAGTTTTGATTGTAATTTGTCATGCTCAGGTAAGTCATACTATCAGCATTGACTTCATAGTATTAGCACAACTCTGGTCAACCCTTAAGAATATAAACATCAATAAAATGTTTCAAAGTTAAAATTGATGGATAAATGGGAATGATTATAACCTCCTTGAAACAATTACAGTAATTTTTGAGGGGGTTGTGGAGATTCGGAAATATTTCAAGTTGTTATTCATCGAAGACTGACATCAGTTGGAGGAACAAAGGAAACCTGGGCAGCTGTTTCGTCCTAGTATGGGACTCCTCAGCAGTGCGCACCCACGACCCCACCAGCAGGGATCGAACCCGCGACCTTCAGGTTCCGCAGCCAGCGCGTTACCATTGAACCACTGGGTCAGAATCCAATGCTCCATATTTCCAACTTCTGTTAGCTCACGGTATAGCGCGAACCGCCACCCAATGTCATCGTTCAGTATTTGTGATCACGGCCATCAGGCTTTGACTCCACCGGTCACGACTTGTCATTGGAACTTTGGGAATACTTCTCGAAGCTAGTCACCAATGAGCACCAGTTCAATTAAATTTCTGAGGGGGTTGCGGAGAGTCCCATACTAGGACGAAACAGCTGTCCAGTGCTCCCAGGTTTCCTTTGTTCCTCCAACTGATGTCAGTCTTCGATGAATAACAACTTGGAATTACAGTAATTGTTTGGTTACACTCATCGATTCCCATTGTTCGAGATAACTTCACTGAAAAGAAGTATACATCAACTATCCTATTAATTTACATCGATAATACGTGGTCCACAACCACCCCCTACGAACATGTAATTCTACAAGCCTGACCACTTTTCATTAACTACTGTTGGTTAGTCGTCCATTTCGAAATTTCCACTGAATATTTTTTGTTTACTACAAACTTATTCTGCTACCGTTCACTTCTGTTATGTCTGCTGTTTTAAAGTTGATAATTTGAAATGATACAGAATTCCATGGCGGTCTATCTGTTTGATTGTCAAAGTTGGAAAGTGTATCCTATATTGAAGTGACAAACTATTTTGCCTTAGACCCAGTAGTCCCGTACACACGGATGCCTGGGGTTTTGAGCCAAAACCAAACTGAAAGTCATAGCATTGTGCAGATAAAAAATACAACATCCTTATCTAAAAAAACTTACTTTAGGACTTAGACACATTGCAAGCTATGTACTCAAAGCACTAGAGAGACTGACAGAAGTCGGATCAACTCTGGTGGATCAGTGGCCGATGACATCTCTGCACGTATAAAGAAGACTTGGTTGACTTTTGCCAACTTACACCATCTGTGGCTCCGCCACGATATCCGATTGTTTATTAAGGGCCGAATGTACTGTGCTGCAGTCCGCTCTGTTCTAATGTATGCCTGTGAAACATAGCCACCAAAGGTAGAAGATATGAGAAGGCTTCAGGTGTTTAACCACCGTTGCCTTCGTAGCACAGGCCGTATTCCGTGGTGTCACCACGTGAGTAACGCATAAGTCAGGTGCAGAGTTTTAGAGAGGAGAGGTAAGACATTTGACGCGGTTGTGAACCTTCGTCAACTAAGATGGCTGGGACATATGTTATATATGTCCAGCCCAACGTCCGCCTCGTCGTACAATGTTGATCGAAGTAGGTTCAGGCTGGAAAAAGCCCCGGACCGACCAGACTGAAAGATGGCATAAATGCATGAAGTCCCTGACTTCGTCTAGGCCATGCAGACTAGCCAGTTGGGGTCTGCATGGCAAGAGAAACCAGTAGTTAGAGACTCTAGGCGATGTGGCTCAGAATCGATGCCAGTGACGCAGATGCATACACACATTATCCTCATGTTAACCCCCTTACTTAATTCCATCATGTCATTCTTCCTTCCTCTCTTTTACTACTTTCTACTTCACTTGACCGATTTTCGTTTCCTTCATTTTATTGCCTTGTTATTGATGTGCTGATATGAGGTGCGGTAATTTGGACCGTTACGCAGTAATGCCTGGTCCTACATTGATCCTGATGATGATAGCTGCCGGACACTGTCAGCTAAAGTACTGATTTGAGTCATGTAAATTGTTTACTAGGTTAAAAATACGTCAATGTACAAAACAATAAGCCAAAACCTATATTCCAGTGAGCACGATGAACATTTAATCACTTGAAAGTGTTGGTCTTCGCTTCTTATCAGTAAGCAAGAAGACATCCAATGAATACTGAAAAAAATCACTTTATCAATGAACAGACTACCGTTTTGATAACTAGCAATTACACTCCGAAATCTGTAGCTACGATCGTGTACGTTGTAAGGGAACCTACAGGCTAACCAATTCTTTCAGTATCAATATAAACAAAATTTATGCTTAGCATATATGTAATACTGACTGCAGACATATTATACAACTAGGCAGGTAAAAATTAATTTTTATCTCAATCAGAAAGGAAAAAAATACAACTGTGTACGCAAACAATCAGGAGTGAAAAAGAAAGAAAGAGGGGAATGGAGCATCGATAAACTTTCTCAAGGCTTTAGAAATACTCATGATATATGATATAAACATGAGGAAAATATCTTTGTATTGCGAAGTGAAAAATAACAGTAGACTTAAATAAACTGTTTTTTAAGTGTAAATGTGTATGAGATATAGAAAAGTGTTATCAACTACTGAAATCAATGATCCAAATATGAACTTGTTTGTTTGTTTGGGTATGTACTCGCATAGATGACAAAATAACATACTTTAGTATCCAACGTGAACTTCATTAGCTAATGAAATCTGTAATTCGATTGATTCGATAGACATAAAAGTGATGATATCATAAAAAGCAAGTCATAAAATAAACAAACCAGAATTAAAAAATATCCCAAAGTGGATGATGAAGGCAGTATGCAAATAAGCAGCAATTAACAACAGCGATTGGCGTGTTGGTTGGTATGAAATCAAGGTGATTCACAGCACTTCAATGAATATGTGTCCTAGGACGGCGTCCCATAGGACCTTGAGGTTTCTGAAATTTAAGCTGCGTCTCTTGTTGTTTAGGATAGAGGATATCCATCAGATATTCTGTAGTTAATTCATTTATCCCATCGGTTTCAAACTTCAACAAGAAAAATTTAAAAAGAAAAGTGGTATGGAAAGTGTTAGTCAATGAAAGACAGTACAAAATGAACAAAAAACAACTTGCCATAAATTCATACAAAGAAAATTATCTCAAATTTAAAACGAAAATTTTTAAATAAAAAGAAATCCGCTAAAACTTGAAAGTCAAGACTACGCATGCAAAACAAGAGGCAATTGACTAATAGTACATGAAAGACCTAATTACAGTAGCAGACTTTATGATTTATCACCCAATGATATGCTGTTTGTATCTATGTCATTGACGTATACTAAAGTAAAAATATATGAAGTCATCAAGTCGACAACTGAGAAATGAACTGTTTGGTTTAAAAAAATGAAACAGAATCAGGCTAGTCTACTGAGGATCTGCAGTCACTGACATGCATGCCGTAGTAGAGATTAATGAAGAAAAGCTTAAGGAAAAAAAATAAAGCAGCAGCAAACCATTCAAGGAAATATAAAGCAGTTGAGTGCAGTTTCTAGTATCACTACAGTTATTTCCAAAAAAAACTTTGAGAGAAATACCAGTCAAACTGAAGAGGATAGTAGCACGCTCTACTGATTCCTCTTGACACTTAAATAAATTGATTTTCTACTTGAATCACCTTTTTTAATTATAGTAAATTCCCTTTTAAAGGTTCAATAATTCGAGTTGATACGGTATACTGTGCTTAATCCGCTAATGAGTAAATCAGATGATTAATCATCACACTTCCCAATCATAGAACAAGTGGTTTTGAAAAGAGCCTTGAGGTTCCTTTACACTTCAAAATTATTTCTTCGCTAACTATGAAGTATTGAAGAAATTTCTATAGTTAAAAATGTATAAATAAATAACTGTATTTGAAAAGAGATAAAGATACACAGATCATTAACCAGCTGCAATATTCAGTGTTATTTTTGTAAACACGAATTACTCAATAATTTAAGTACTTAACTTTCAATCACCAAATTACAAAGACAGGATAATATCGAAGATGTAGTTATGATGCCTGGTACAAGCGTCAATGCACCAGACTATGCGCTAAAATCACTCTGTAAACGCTTATGATATTATTCAAGTTCGTAGAGTGGAGAAAAGAGTTTTAATTCAAGACCTATTGATTGATAATCGAGGGCTAAGGTCAATGAATCACATCTCCAAGACAGAGTAACTCTGACTAGTTTTACTAAACATAACTGTCTCTTCTTATATACATGCCTCATAATTCTGTATGTAGTTACCGATTAGCACCAATCAACTTTTGAATAGCTATCCCTATCTGAAAAAACAACAAGTTTGCACACTTACAGAGCATTCATCTATAAATCTGACAAATATTGTGTGATAATCAAAAACTACAAACCGCCTTTATTTATATCTTAATAATCTTTCATTCATTTGCTAAGAATAATAATCTTTTTGGTAGTAAACGATAAAAAAAGGTAGGGATACACTTATGTTGACTATACTGAATGAATAAACCATAAAGATAGAAAGTCACTGAAATAAAACATAACTACTAGGACTTTCATATTTAATTTGAAGTGGTAGTACTATAAATAGTGTGAAAAGTACAAAACATAGCTAAAGGATATGCTGATGAAAACACATAAAATAAGTAAAACTCAGTCAACTCAATCTTAAACTAATAAAGGCATCATGTCAATAAACTAAAAGAAAACAGATTATATCTCGTTGCTATGATACATAGTATAGTTTCTTGTCTCCTGTCTCAATAAATTTTAAAGTACACTGCTACTTGAAAAAACAAGCGAATAAATTAGGAGATAGAGGATAGAAGAGAAGGAAATAAAGGATTCATATGAATAAGTTATACATACTGCATAACACTCATCGGTCTAAGCAATTGATTTTCAACCGAGGGGTTACGGGTTTGAACCTAGCTTCACCTACCGAGGTTTGGACTGCTAGGAAGTATCATTAGCCCTTACACAATAGATGTGGTTCATCGTTTACTGCACAAACATGCACAAGATTACTGAGTGGATTTTGTTCGGTTGCTTCAATAACCCACATTTTCAAGTAAAAATAAAATGACAAAATATGACTGAACTCGGCACATTTCTGTCTTAGACTATGAGCCACACTTAGTGTATGGGGGCTTCTGCTATTACAGTGTCAAAGGTTGAAGTACGTGAAGTGAAGTTCGAAAATAACAATCAAACAAAAACAGAAAGTTACTCTTGTTAGCAGTACGTTTCTGCTGGGACAAAAATCAGATACATCAGAGGCATTCCAAGGTTGCCTGACTTATTCACATAAGTGAGTAGGCGTTGCTGTGATCTCATGCTATCTGTGTGAATAACCAATCAACGAATATAATAAAGCTAACAACTTTATCTTCAAACGAAAAATAGATCCTAACATGTATATGTATCTGTGTTAACAGTACTTGTTATAATTCGACCGGTATCTTCAGACTAGGATAAATCCGTTTACACATTTCTTGTCTTGTAAATACACGTTACGTTATTTCATTCTCGATCACTGTATTATTACTGCAGAATTGTGAGCAGTAGGCAGTCAGTTACCGACATCATGAGATTAGAAATGATTGTTAATGTTCAATACTTATTGCATGAATAGTTCTAAGAGTCATTGTAGCAACAAATCAAATAAATAATTTGATTTTGCCATTTCAGAGGAAATGCAAAGTTTTTATGCAACATAAAAATCTAACTGGTTACTTTAATAATTGCTGGGGTGGCCATTTAGAGTCATTTTATTGTATTACGTCTAATTATCATTAATATCGACATAACTACAAGCGACAGAAATTTATCAGTAGAAATATACATCATTTTTCCACTTACTGAATAAATTAAAGGCAATTTTTTAGATAAATATGGAACACACTCCCAATTTAAAATTTCCGCAGTGCTTATAAATTATGAAAGCGAAAACTATGTTAAATTTTACGGATAAACCACGCCCAATTGACACAACCAAGACAATAACTCATAAGTTTATAGATATTTAAAATAACTATGGTTCTCAAAAACTGAAAAATGGATTTCAACTACTCCAATGGAATTCTGAAAAATCATCACTTTTAAAAGATGTTATATAATATCACTGTTATTTTAGTAATGAGATCTTGTAAAGTTTGCGTTCATCACTAATTTTTTTTCAACAATCCTCGTCAAACAGTATTTTATTCATTACAGTCAATTATCTGATTCTCTTTTGAAGAGGTCAGACCCAGTCATTCAAATGAAAAAATAAACAGATCTCTAAGAGACAACTAACAATAAAAGAAATAAATAAATTTGGACAGGGTTAATCCTGAAAGTTATAATGTAGTGTGTTGGTGAAAAGTAAATAGACTAGCAAAGAAAATAAAGTTACCGGGTTTGAGCTATTCGAAACAACTGATGGACTTACCAGTAGTATGATGTGAACTGTTGTAAAATAATTGTAATCTAGCATAACAACTGAAAATAACACTTCTTTTAACACATTTCTGCATAAAACAAATGGTCAATATAGAAAAAAACTATAGGAATACTGCTGCACACCGTGAAATATCCAGTAGTAGCAGCAGCAGCAGCAATAATAATACAACTAGTGATGTTCAACAACCAGATTTCAAGGCTTGTGAATGCTAGACAATAACGCACAAAATTGAATGGTTGTTTCCGTCAATCGAAATCCTAACTTGGTTATGTAAAATTAAACAAACGTTGAAAAAAATCCAACACGCTTTATAGACTATTTAACAAAGTAAAGTATAACCAAAAATTTCTTGATCAATTAATGGACTTCAAAACACGAATGAATTCAAAGAGTTTTGGTAGAAAAGGAGAGATAGTGTCAATATTTGTCTCAATGAACAAAAATTCATTGATAAGAAAGCAATATGAGTAATTTTCAGTTTCACTCTAATTTATTCTAGTATGCGCTCTACCTCCTTCGTTAGATTGAAAAATTAATACTGTAATACATTACAGACTATATGAATGCTACGGGTGAGTATAATGTCACTAATTCAAAAGTAATTGTTACTTATACTCTTCGTGCTACAATCTGAATATTAACGATTTACTCTGTGACAGGACGATTTCTGTTTGTAGGGTTGAGAAAGTAAACCCTACATAGATGAGATTACGACAACCGACTGTCAATTACTGAGTCACTAAGACAACTTCACCCTAACTACTGCGATCTAGATAGCACGGTAGTATCACAAGAATCAAAACTTCAAGTGTCGCTCAAGATATAGTAAACATGCTTGTACAACATTGCTGAGGTGTCCGATACTACAATACTGCTAAGTTATAACAAATGAAAACCCATATAAGATTGTAAATAAATCTTTGACGTAAAGTATAGGGAAATAGAATCGTACAGGAAAAATCAAAAACAACTCTTACAGTAAGAGAAATAGGAAGAATGTTGAAAGCCAACATGCAGCTTAATCTTACTAAATAAGGGATATAGATTGAGTAATGCTAATCTAGTAAGGGAAAAGTGGATAAGCCCACAAAGCTGTTAGCAATTAGTACAAATAAGGTAAGGTTATACGAAAACGAAACGCACTCAGCAGCCTTGTGCACATTTGTGCAGTAGGCAATGAGGCATATCTATTGTGTGAGAGCAACTGATACTATACGGCTATCAAAACCTTAGTAGGCGGAGTGGGGGTGAAACCTGTGACTCATTGGTCCTGGTAAAGTTATATGTTTTAGTTGTGTCAAATCCCCTGTGGCATTATACGAAACATTATGCAGCTTTTGGGTAAAAATCCATCAAGGAGGAAGTAATAGTAGTAAACGTAATTATATTGACTACGCAATGCAGTTTATGCTTTCTTTTACTAATTTCACGTCACAGCTACTTTTTTATGAAATACCCATGGTCACACGAAGGTAGTACACAGTTTTCCAGTATAGGCTACGAACTGCTGATTGAGAATATTTAGAGAGAAATTTAGAAATTTAATAAATCTAGGTCATTTTGTATGATTAAGATCTCAAATCAACAGTTGGACGTTGCGAAACCTATAAAAATTACTCATACCGAGTATGATTACAAGTATAATTTCAAGTTATTATTCATCGTAAACTAATATGAGTTGGAGGAATAAAGGAAATCTGGGAGCACTTGACAGCCGTTTCGTCCTAGTATGGGACTCCTCAGCAGTGCGCACCCACGACCCCGTCAGGGATCGAACCCGAGACCTTCAGGTCCCACGGCCAGCGCGTTACCATTGAGCCACTGGGTCAGAATTCAATGGTCCATATTTCCAACTTCTGTTAGCTCACGATATAGCGCAACCGCTCTGTTAGTTTACGATGAAGAATAACTTGAAATATTTCCGAATCTCCACAACTCCCTCAAAAATACAAGTATAATTGCTTGATTTTAAGTAATGTATAAATAAGATTATAAGGTCAATAGGTTTTATGGGGCATTTCATACAAAAAAGGGCTTCAACTATCAATCTTTATCAAATTCAACAGTACCTCACGACTTAGTGATAATAAAATCACCAGCAGTTATCTTGATACCTAGAGTAATAAAAGACTGTAAAAAGAACTGACATGACTAGACTGAAAGTAACATTAACTCATAAATCAGTAGGTCTGCAAACAAAAATTTTAAAACTGAAGAAATTCTAATAGGTAGATCAAGTGATAAAGCACATGCTTGAACAAAACAAGGTTTTTCATGCTGAAATCAATGTATTTCAACTGACTAAATACGATCAGTGGAGACAAAATCTGCATTCATTTCTGTGCAAGCAAACTTACGCACTTGTAAACGCTAGGATAACAAAGTAAACGTGCACTTAGATGTCGTTGAATGTGTCACACAGCAAAAACATTCGCAGACTAGATAGCAGAATAAAAACTATACTCTAAGAGTATTTACAAAACAGACTTCAATTTTTTTCTTTTGCTAGAAACTCACTAAAAAGACTCAACCCAAAATATCCACATTCTTAAAAAGTTACACATATTTTTCCTCATTTTGTAATAGAACGTTGAGAAAAGCTTACAATGGGTTCGACCAGAAAATTAAAACATAGCTGCAGGAATTTTTAACATCAACAGTTTATGAAGAATACACTGAAATCTAAATATGAACAAATGTTCATCTCTTAGTGGTGCAACAATAATAAATAATGCATCTAATCAGCCTTTCGTTGTGAAGTCTTAATACTGATAATGAGAATTACTCCTTGTTTCCAAGACGATAAAGCTTGCTTAATTATATCACATGCTTGATCTTACGTTCATAGGCTCTTTTTTAAAGAATTAATCTTTGAAAGAAACAGCCTGGTTTCTTCTAAGTAGCAACACTGTAACTTGTTTAGAGATCTCAACTCAAAACTAGGCTTTGAACCACACTAAATACGTGGCGGTTTATGATGCTACTTATTTACTGAAGTAAATGGAGTGGATTTGAATCCGTAATCGATTGATTGATAACAAAATACCTGGATCATTGAGACAGAAAATAATTTCGAAAATAATATTTTTCCTGTTTGTAAAACTATTAGAAAAAAAGCAGAATCTGTGAGAAAAATTGAAATAATCCAATACCCAATTGATAAAAATTATATCCAAGCTTTCAATTTTCTGATCTAAGTGTACGTAGTAGAGATGATTGTTTTTAAATTTACCCGGAAAATAACACACTGGAGTAGATACCTGACTAATTTTAATAGTGCTAGAGGGAAATATAATCAATTTCTCCACATTAAAAACTTTGGGAAATGTACATGGAATACTGAAATTTCGAAAAATTCTTATGAATAATGCCAGTTAAAGACAGAAACTTCTGAGTTCACTGAAGAAAAACTAGCATTATCTTGTCTTTAGTGATTTCTAAGATGTTCCGAATTAAAAATTTGGAATTCAAAATAAACTAAGGTATTCATGCGTTCAAAAAACTGCCCGATAGAAACATCTCATATGAATACTGTCATAGTTTATACTTTATGTTCTCCAGATGATAAGTAACAGCATTACATGAAGTAGGACAATTGATCGACATGAATACCTACCAATTCCTGAATATTGAAATTAATTGAGTACACCAGGACAACTGTTCGACAAAATAATATTATAAATGACCAGTTTGGTTGCTGGAATACAGAGTTTTGTTTGTCCAGTAAATATTTTAACCTTGAAAATGACTACCACAAAGTGAAAATCCATCCCAACTGAAAAATGATATCGGATGATAAGAATGAGAAAAGTATATTTCGTAAAACAATAGAATTTGGACAATCTTTCATAACAGTTACACTGAAATATATTGATCATCATTATACCAATATAACCAACTAATATAAAAGCTACTTAATATACTAAATACTCCTAGTTGTTTATGGCTTTCAGTGTAATTTATCAACCTCTTTATTTGGGGTGTCCTGCCTTTCAACAGACGATTCAGTTACAAAGATAAACAAACTGAAGAGATTTTAGATGCATTGACTCCAATTATCACTTTTTATAGTTAAATTCTTAACTGATGTCTTAAAGTCAATTGAAATCGGTGACTGAAGAATTTAAGTGGTATGGTTTAATATCGGTCGCAGTGGCAGGAATATGTTCGCGTTTTATGTTTCTTCACACCTCGAACAAACTACTCTAAGCCTTGTATTTCATCCTTATTTGTTTACTTTATCGTCCAATTTTTTACTGCTATGGATATAATTTACATTCTTGATGGTAAAAAAATATGTTCAACATAGCATGGCTACTCAGTAAGACGAACGTAGAAAGATTAACATTGTATCGATAAAATGCACGGTACTATGAAATGACAAGTTACTCTATGAAATCCTAAACCGTTACGAATGATACTAAAATAAATTAGCAGTAGTACAAATCTAATATCATCTATTGAGTAAGTAATACAGGACGGGGAGTAGTGATTATATGAATAAACAAGAAGCTGAAAAAAGGAAAACTCATGAACAATTGAGCACATATGAATCTGAACAGAGAGAATTAATGGACCCAAGTCTTCATAAATACCAAAAAGTACGCAGATTTACAAGGTTTCAAGGAGATTTATTGTGACAAAGGTTAATAAACGCCTGGCATGATAAAATAAAAGGGCGTAAAGACTTTTTAGTTGAATACCTGAAAGCTGGACAAGAGTATACGTAAACTAATACCTGTCACACCCTTTAATTACGATGAAATACATAACAAACTACAACAAATGGTGATGAATATAAGGTCTACCGACGCTCATATAGTAAGAGTTACACCAGTCTTGAGCCTAATAAACCAACCAAGATGAAAAATTCCAAAGTAGTAAGCACGACACAACTAAATTGAAAACGAGGAAAAGCGACAGAACCGAAATGTGGAACTCAATTATTTTTAAAGGTCGGAAGATATCTAATACAACTTGTCTACTAACAGTGAATATGGGTCATTTAATTCGTGTAGTTATGATGTTCCGAATTAAACAATGTAAGCCTAAAACGCAAATAAAACAAATAATGACTTGATATCTAGCTACCAACCAACCTTCACTCTCTTTAATTAGACTGCAAAAATGCAGATTAGTTATGAGGTGTCAACTACAAAACGCACAATAAGTATCCTGTCGTTTCACTTGGAGAAACAAAAAATCTTTCTTTACACAACAGGGTCATTGCATACTCATAGTCGACTGCGATAAAATACTCCAGATCAGACATCGAATCCTTAGTAGGAGTTTAAGTTCACTAGAGCGTTTATAAAAAATGAAATTAGAATGAACAGGTTGGACACGACTATTGAACATATATTTTGAAATGAACTCTACTGAGAGTTGATTTTGAAGTAGGACATTACTTTTTGTTGACTGAGACCGAACTTGTCAGTCTTTATTGATATACAGGTTTCATACATTGCAAGTCGCGATAGTACCTTTAACCTAATATAAGTATCATCCACATAACATTGGACCAGAAGCCAACAATGAATTTCAAGCTTTGACAGATGAAGCCTGTTGAACAAGGGGTAGCTTGTCTAACCTAATTAATTTGGTGAATAACTAGGGATGAATAAATACTAATAAGACTCAACCCAACACAAGTGTTTAGGTACCAGGTTATAAGTCACACGTCTTATGAGGGCTTATGGTACCACCTGGTCGAAGTAGGTTCAGCAAGGTTTGAAATGCATGGTTGATTGGTTGAGAGCAAAGTGTGTAAGCCAGTGAGCCATATCTTTCTAATATTGTGGACAACACTGATGTTTGAGGTCATAAGTGCTAGATTTGAGTCTCAACTGGAACACTACACTAAGATCTAGGTATACTCAACTGAAAAACTACAAATAGGAAGAATTGAACTCGGTTGCCACTACCAAATAACTTCAAAGGTAGTTCCGTCTGAACTTTTACAAGCGTACATGAATTCAAAGGCGATTTCAGGGCAGAGATTTACTTTCTGCAATAACTACAGGTATTCCGGATAAAGAAAAGATTCTTTAATCAGCTTACTGAGATGTATGAGTAAGTGACTACCACAGATCACATATTTTACCAGAAAATATAAATTTTCCTGCAATACAGGTAACTACAAAATTTAATTTACCTGCAAACAATCTTTCATTTTATACGAAACAAAGTTTGACATTTTATGTGAGATAAACTAGTTACCTATAAGTAAAAGCATATACCTTTTCAAGGGATACAAACTTATGTGGTACAAAATCTGTGGAATGTATGTTTGTCTATCAGTTGGATTTTATTGGTTATGTACCTAAGCTCCCTTGATTTTGTGCACAGTGATGTGAGTTTCCAAATTTGAGGTAAACTTCGCTAACTAACTATTAACAAAGAATTGAACCGTTTATCTACGCTTACTTGTTACCAATACGATGTTGAAATTATCTTATCAGATATTCAGAGATTATGTCCAGTGGTCCTGTGAAAAGTATGATCACAACATATGTTAGGAATCACTGAATATCATTGTGATGCATGTTAGTATCAAAAAATAAAATAAGTTTTATGGGGTATGTTTTTACAACATGTTCTAGAAGAGGATCATCGAATAAACATGTTCCAACAACACAGTCATAAGCACGTCAAAATATAAATAAGCCAGGGACGAATTCTAAAACCAGCAAAATAAGAAATATGGTGGTGGATTCAACAAAAAGGCATGATATCAAAAATATAACTTACTCGATGATCAAAAGTTAACTGAAATTCTCGCTCCAACTGAGTTAATAGGGCTGCCTTACAACTAGAATACAGCATTCGACTTTTTACAGAGCTCTCATAACCAGATATTGTGTGGATAAAAACTGAAATAAATAAATTAGTAAGGATTCAAAAGTGTAACAGAAACCTCACAATAAACAAGCTATTTAGAGATCTACATTTCAATAATTCTCCTTCTTCATCACATTCACAACTTAGCGCTAATCACATAAACAAATACTAGAAGTGTCATGGTTAATTAAAAACAAGGATACCAACTATGTTCATCTATCGCAATGACCTGAAGATCTGTCAGCATGTTCTTAGATGACTTATTTCTGCAATGGCTCTTCATACAGCCTCATTAACACATGAGGGATATTTGAGAAACGTTTCTTATCACATAAACGTAAACTGTCGCTCCAATAATCGTCTGAGTTGATGCATTGTCTAACAATAGAAATTGAACTGGTTGAGCAGGTTGACCGCCTTATTTACCTGAGAAATCAGATCAGAACCCGTGTGTCTGTGTCCGACGAAATCTCCAAACGGATACAAAAGGTTCACTTGGCTTTTGCCGACTTATAGTGCCACCTTGTTGTCCGATTACCTATCAGATGTCGAGTATACTGCGCTGCAGTTCGCTCCACAATACCATATGGATGTGAAATATGATCACTGAAGGTAGACATGAGGAGGCTTCAGATATTCGACCACCGTTGACCACGTTGCATAGGCCGTGTATCGTGGTGCGACCATGTCAGTAATGTACAAGTCAGGTATACAATTTTGGGAGAGAGAAGTTGGTTGGCGAGGTTGTGAACCTTAAGCGACTCAGATGGTTGGGATATGTACTACGAATGTCTAGTCATCGTCTACCTGGTCGAGCAATGTTGACTAAATTATTTTCATTTTAACCGTCATTCTGAATTCCAGTATACCCTCATTCCTTCTTGTTAATTGATGACGACTTTATACTAGTTTTAACCGCTATCTTCTTTATCTTTTATCCTAGTGCCTCCTCGCTTGAAGTGCCAAATTAAACCGCTACACAGTAATGGTAGGCTCGGTGTTGATAATGGCGAACTGAAAGTGATATCATAACCATATCCGTCAAGCCAATGCATAGAGGAAAATAAACTTTCTACAAGGTATCATCATATTTCGTGCATTTTCTTAACTCGCCCTTTGAATTTCCTCTTATGGGTTTACCCTGTGATGGTGTGAAGTCATAGATCATAGGCTTGACATGATGTTTGATGAATCTTGTCATACCAGCTTGCGGTCAATGTGATACTGAAAATAAAATCACAATTACACACAAGAACTACGGCTGTTTCTGGTTTGATTTCATCACTTTTACCACTAACGAACATTGAACTCAGTTGGTACAATACTGAGAAATTCGAACTCAATAACTATACCATTAAAACCTAAAACAAGGATTCAAACAAAACACAACTGCCACCACTTCATTTATAATGGTTTTGAACCAGATATGCTATAGATTGACAGTTAATTTAACGATCTATCGTGGTATGTCAACCTTTATATAAAGAAATCGAATTGGATCTTATTTAGAAAACGAAAAACATACAAATTTGATGCAACAGAAATGAAGTTTATCAAGTGAAACGTTTCAGAAAATTTTTTCTTCTGAAGACAGCAGCCTTACAATAGATAGACTGTAAGTGGTTCACTGACTTAACCTACAACTTGGAAAACACTCTGTTGAATTTATCACTTCAAAGCACAGATAAAAACAGCAAACAAAAGCAGGACAGAACTGTATGTGCAGACTTAATAAGAAGATATATGGTACTCGAAGAAAGACTTTAAGCAACCATAACACTTAAATCACTTTGATTTATTTCATAAGGCATTTCCAACTAGTAATTTCGCTTCTTCTTCCGATACCAAAGAAGCAAGCTAACACCTAAGTAAATGACCAAAATCAATAAACTGTAGCTTCACGAAATGATCAAACCAGCTGAGTGCCTCATTTACTCCAGTTTATATATTGTGGTGAGATACGTAATAGCTGGAAATATTCAACAGAATTACCAGCTAAGTAGGCTGATTTGGTTATTATCATGTATAGTCAGGCGTATAAAGCTAGAAACAAGAAAAGAACGAACAAATGCAAGTGACCCCACCCTGAGTTTAAATAAGCGAAGAATAACTATATTATCCAAACTTAAATACATTTCCGAAACATATAGCGTAGAATAGTGTATGCCACATTTACTTATACGATTAGTCAGCAGAAGAGTCAGTTAATTTTATTTTAAGCGAAGAATTCAATACGACTTGCTGCTAAAAATATTTAATTGGAATTTATAGAGAACTTACAAGTGGCAGAACGATCTTGACCTTCATGTAAATAACGGAAACGATAAAGATGGTAGCGACCTTCCTTTTCTGAGCAAGCCTTGGCAACCCCTTGCGGAGTGATATGGTCATAAGTTTTACAAACTCTTATCATTTCATTTGAAATTTCAATCATCTGTCAAAAATGAACAAAATTAACTACTCAAACCTTGGCTACGGAAACAATAACTCCTGTAAAACTCAGGCAGACAAAATCTGTAAAAATGAAAGAGCACATAACTTTGTTAGTTTTTGTCGTTAAAAACAACTGAGGAGTAAACTAAAGTGAAATAATCATTCCTAAAAACTTCAAAGTATAAAAGATACCACCGGAACCCATCCAGGACCAGTCCAGCGCCACTTAAAACCATGCAGGCTAAACTGGTTCGAAGTTTGTTTTATGGGGTGAAACTAGCCAACAAACAGTTGGAAGACGTAGATTGATGTGTTTGCACTGCACATCGAATTTCCCAGGCAACCTACATCTAATTACGTTATCCAAATTTATAAAAAGGACTAACTTTTTCAAACAATAAACATCTGAAACGATAGTGCTAGTCGTGGAAATTTACCGTTCGAAGACAAATAGAAACCACACTACCGACTGCACTATGTAACAACAGCAGTACATAGATACAGTAGACATTTGTGAAAGAATATTGAATTACTTAACCATGTAGAATGAATAACGGTTCCCCATGCGGTCTTTTCAAACAAGAAGATAGCAAAATCGTAAAACAAGCTTCACAATACTACCAAAGGCAAATGACTTGCACAATGACTTCAAATGTCTGTCAAAGTACACAACTTAACAGAATAAGTAGAGTAGAAAAAGAAACTACTTATTCAGTTTCATTTTTAAGATGCTAAAACACTCAGTTGAACTAATTCTACTGATCAGTTACTCAAACCACCAAGAAATAATGGTTCGTTGCTTTGGATTAGCTACAATTATTCTTAACATCAAACAGAACGCAATGTAGGTAAAAGTATGAGAAACAAACGAGTTGGTTTGTTTTTTATCAAGCAAGAAAGTGAACAGCTATATCAAACAAGATTCCGCGAAGAATTGATAATATTATCTACAGACTTAGTACCGTTATTCCTAGAGCAGGCTTATGGAACCTTGTTCTTGTTTATACAGACAACCACTACATAAGAAAAGAACCACAAAACTGGTTCCGAAATGTCTGCTGGTAAAACATAAGTGCTTCCTCTAGATAAACTCTGTAAACTGCAGCACATTCGTGCACACCTATTGTGTCAGAGCTAATAATACTACTAGGTCGCTCACAGGCCGGTAGGAGGAGTTGCATTCGAAACCATGAACCCTCGATTGGAAATCAATTACTTAGACCAGTAAGCCACAGCTCCGCTTCGTGCATGTTATGAACCAAGTGCGGACTTTAGTTGTAGAAAGCTGTGAGCTAAGTGTGGTTGAGAATAAAGATACCGAAAAGTCCAATGTATTCAACAGTGAATTTTGAATACGTACGAAGGCGAGTAGACGAGAACACCTGAGAAAGACAAACCACAAAATACAACGGATACGACCTAAGTTTAAATGTTTCATACAGAAATCCTACGTTACTGTTGTATTTGACCAACACTTCTGTATTCGCCCTGATAACGGTGTTTTCCTATTGAAACTAAAGCATCACAGCTAATAACGACTTAAACTGGAAATGAAAAATGGTACTTTTTCAAACTATCTGATATCTGCTAGCCAAGTAGCTTTCTGTTTATCACTAATCTGTCTGACCTACCTTGGTAACTGAAGAATTCAGGTACCAAATGCCTGAGGCCCTCTATGTGAAACTTCAGTCTCTACTTCTAAGAAACCCTAAGGTTGGTGGAGACACTATTGATTTAGAAGCGTAAGACTAGAAGATAACCTGGTATAATCGCTCTAAAAAACAATGAAAACATTTTTCGGAGCATTAATCGCAAGGAAAATATTCTACAAACTTGGAACTCTGGTAAACCCAACAGTATAACTTGTACTTTGGGTTCACACCTTTATGAAATGCTTGAACTACAACCGTAATTATCTAGTGTTATTACAAAAAGTCGTAAATAAGTGAGGGTTATTATTCGCATACGAAAAGTGACTTAAAACGCTCAGACTTAAAGTAAGAGTGTGCATAACGAAAACTTATTCAGATACTTTTTTTCCAAATTCAAATACTGATCATTTATAATAAGACTAATTTGACAACCTAGACTACTATAGCCGACTCAACAAACAAATTTTTCGCGTATTTTGATTTTCTTCTTAGCCAAGGGAGTGCAACTATACGTGATATGCTCGCCGTCGACTGAGTTACATTACAAAGTATTTTACAACTGACTTCAGTCGTCCAGCAAACACAAACACAGTAGTCTGTTTTACCCATATAGCACAGTTCTAATACCAGAGACTTCATGAGGTAGTGTCACGTTTTTGTACGCCGACCTATAATTTTTCCCAACTCAGCTCTTCTTTAGCGAATACTACGCATTGTAGTAGACGATCCTTATGCATCTTTAACACACGTTCCAGCCATCCTAATTAATGATTAAAGACCCTGCTGTGTAACTTTTCACATAACTAGAGTGATGGTCTCGCAATACACTGGAGGTGTCATCTAATTCGACGAATGTTGAGGACATTGAAAGCTCCAATAAATTGTTTGAACTCGAATCGTTAGCATGAGCTGTGGGGCTGCAAGAACCCAGAGACGACATTTAAAAAAACAGTGAAATGTTGATGAAGTGTAGACAGTCATTTAGAAGGTTAGCGCTGACAAAGATCTGGAGATTGACATTTCACGACTGCTCGATACTATGAAAAATTACTCCTAGAGGTTACTGTAATAAGTAAAGATATTTTTACCAGCATAAGTGCAAGACAACAAATTTCAACACATATCTGCTTGAAGCAGATCACACCTGAATAAACAGTCAGAGGATGTAAGTAACATGGATGAACTCAGTCACAACAGAAATGAATTCACTCTCTGACACCTCCAAACGTTTGAACATTTGCACTAACCTTCACTGTTGAACTTCCTTTCCTACCATACACTTTTGTCACTCCCTATCCATGCCTCTGTGCAGTGTGGTAACGAACTGATACACTTCCACTTCAGGTTCTACGTTGATTCGTATTTCTCTACATATCTTGTTGATTTTTAATACAATGTTATGCCTGTACTTAATGGACTACCCTAGCTGCAGGTACCAGAAAACCGTGTGGTACGCAACAGACTACCATCTTTTGAGCGGAAAACTCTACTAACCCATCCTTTCGACAGAATAATGCAGCTCTGAAATCAACTGTATCACTGTTTGAGAAAACGCAAGCACCATTGTCCCCATGTTGATGATATGAAACCTTAGCTTTGTAATTTTCTCCTTACATGCTAAACAACCTAATGTTTTCATTCACGTTTGCCCTTTCCCATAGTCTAATTCTACTACGACACGGCAAGTAGACTGAGTTTCATACCAGCTCAAATAAGCTAATGGTTTCCAAATAACCGTAAATTTTGATCTTGAATGTTTATAATGTTCGACAAACGACATGCAGTCAAATTGTTCCAGGTTTCATCTTCTGTATATAAGTGACAGTTCCACATGATTAAATATATGGTTGGACTCAGCGGCGTCTTGATGATCATTCACTTCGGTTCATCGACACAGATATAATTGCAGTCAATAAATTAGCTCTGATAGCAAATCACCACTTATCTACACATACGGTCTTTTGTATATGTTTAACATCTTTTAGGTTAGGCACAGATAAACAAATAATCTACGCATGCATAGTAAATTCGTTTAATCATGAACACGCATGCCTTTTCACAAGTATAAGGAACCGAATTACTTCTTTCAAATCAGTCATCAGGAAGTTAACAACATGAATAAAACACAATACACGAATTAACCAACTCATGCTGCATCTAATATCCGTAAGATATTCACCGGTTCATCGAACAATAAGTACAAGAAGCTCGATCGCATGACTGGGAGACGGTTTCTGAAACTAGACATCACCAAAATGCATATATTTCGTCCAGGAAATTTCAAAACTAAAGTAACAATGTCTTGGTCAGACTGTGTTATTTCAAACTAAAGACGTTGTGAACCTGAATCGTGTGGCAGGAGTATTAAACAAAAACCAATTCACGGACCAACTCAATGTGTGAATTCCTTTGGAAACCAGGGCATATCGCGAGAATATGCATCTTCATAAGATGCAGAACCTTTACGAGTTCTGTATGCTTTGCACACACAGATTTTGTACAAAAATCTTTATCAAGAAATTCATGTTTATTCCGGGTCAAAAGTACGCAGAAGTGAACAAATCATGTGCTACCAAGCCAAACCAGCGATAAAATGACCAGAGAGTAAATAGTAAGGAGTAACGTACAAACCCTCCACTGTTTTAGGGTTGATGTGCATTCAGAACACGAAATTTAATGTAAAGCATGACCTGCTTCAAGGAAAGAATAGCTAAGCAACCAATCCATTGACTGACACATCTCGACACCAAGAAACAATATATGATGTCTGTATTCCGCTTGCTGCATTAACAACTGAATTTCCTCCATATACTGATGCCCCTAAAATAAGCCACAGCTCTCCTGGTCGAAGATACTCTTCTTAGACTTCTGAGACCGAAAAAATTCCAACTGCTCTTTCTTAAATCTACTGGCATCAATGCTAAACCAAACTACCCAAACTTACCAACTGAACATAGTCACAAGTTCCCTGACTGAAATTTTTCAATGCAGGACGTGATTCAGGGCTGAGCGCGAACGAAATGCCACCAATCGTTTGGTAGCTGGAATGCAAGCCAGTGCTTACCTGTTAGCGAGTAAGGAGCGAAATTAGATCATACCTCTGCCGTGCGAACACCAGCTATTTCAATTTCAGCATCCGTATAGGGGCCGGGAGCACCTTTGTTCTCCACATGTCTTTTATAGGCTTCCAAATTGATGTCATCCTTGAAGAATAACCGATGAACTTCACACTTACAGTCGTATCCCCCACTAAATCGTCTTTAATTAAATTGTCTCCAAACTGCTTCCGAATAGTCGCTTTAGTTGATGCGTACAACATTTTTTGCCGTACCTAATGAGTAATTAGTGAGTATTACGGACACTAAAGACATGCATCAGAGCTTTCAGGGACCCAACTTATGAAAATCCAGTCATTCCCAAGGGGATTGACAGAATCAAGACGATAAAACATGTAACATGGAGACCGAGGATCCAACAGCTGTTTCATCATTAGGTCGAAGTCACTCTCCCAATTGCCTCTAGGAGGAAGTTTCCCGGATAAGATCAAGCGCTCGTCCTTTATTACAAGCTTTAGTGCTCTGAACAAACGTCTTTTACAATCTGCCAGCTCTGACGTCACATGAGAGTCAGCTGAAAAGTAAATAGAAGCCAGGTGTGATTACCATGAATCCCGCTTTGGTGAGTCATTTGTACTGCCGCCTATAACACAAACTGTGAAAACAGAAGGAAAATAGGATATAAGAAGATTCAATACTCAATATTGATTTGTCAAAGTCCTCAGTAATTAAGGAGGTATACCAGGTAGCTTGTATTGACACAAGAGCTACCAGCAGTCTAGTAAGAGGATGGGATCAATAATTCTTGAACTCTCTTAACTTCTTTTGTGTAAGCACATGGCGGATCAGAGGGAGTTGGGGACTCACCGGAGAGATTCCAGTTGTAAAATATCTCGTTTTTTGAAGCAATCACCCATTGGCGTTTCAGCGCTACTACTCATTCTTCAGTCCCATGTTCTGTTTTTCTAAGTGGTTAGCTTTTGATTGACTAATTGTTCCAATATATTAGATGCACCTCGTAATCCAGTGCAAAATACAGCATAGGCATCTCCAGTGTCAGTAAAGGCACCCGTAAACCGACGACATACTAGTATATCAGTGGTGAGCTGTTGAATATTAAAGACGTATTTTCGTGTTTCATTTTCGATGTGCGATCGCACTTCTCTGGCTCCACTTGACTATGCTTGGGCGACCTGTTTGATCTATAGGCCACTTCATCCTGCCACGAAATATATTACATCCAAATTCTCCTTCACACATTGTTTGATCATTCAACTGTGTCCCCTAGTTGTATTATATACTCTTGTGAACTTTTGACATCATCACAACTGGACGCTCTGTAAGCTGATAAGCGGACTAATAAAAAGCAACCGGCTCTCAAGCGTATGGCCATAGATTAGATTACCATTCTGGAAATACTCAGCACAAACTGCAGGTGTTTACCGAAAGAGGCTGATTGACTTCGATCACTCTTATCCACGAATTTTCGTCGGAATGTGGGTGTGATGATATTAAAGGGAACATGCTTTCATGACTTGCGTGATGATTATTTAGCCTTTCTAACTGGTTCCAAGTAATTTCGACAGCGTTGACGCATTTCAAAGAAAACATGCGGAGGAAGTATTATAAAGCTTATCAACACAATCTGCTCCACCGCCACCCATGTTTGTGTTAGCTTCTCCAGTGAAAAACTGAGTGCATTACCACTAGATATCATCCTGAAAATTTGAGTGAATACAAATAAATATACATAACAAAACATTTGTCACACCTGACTACAGGTTCCCAGCTTTATCAGCTCTTGCTGAGGAATTCACTGAGTTTTCCTTCATCTATAGTCGGTGGAGATCTTAACACAAGTGGCTGCAGTTTGCCCGCATCACTGGCCTGTAGGGGACGATGCGTAATTAGTGCGTAACGCCTAGCGAATCCCATTTAACCCGATGTGCCTTAGTGCCTGATTAATCAGTACCTTACCCAACATACAAGTACTGATAAACACAAATCAAAAAAACTTATTCTGGAATAAGCTTGAAAGAACGACGCATTTAAATAGAACAAATGTGAGAGTGATGACTGGGAAAAACGCTCATCAACCTTATGTGCCTAATATGGCTGGGCCAGACGCTGTGATAACGTGCGTGCTAACCCGTAAAAAAGGAGTGTTAAGTGATGTCGATGCATGCTCGGGTGCATGTCAGTTAAAACAAAACTTAAGACATCTGAAGCGCCAGCAGCTAGGCTAGAAGTCAATTTAGTTGATATTTCGTCAGTTCAATTTAATCGGTTTATTTTTGCCCTAGTTGCACATTGCTGCCTGCAAGGTGCACCACAGAGGCAGGAAAGTATGGCTGACTTTTCTACTCATCCTCACAACACACTAGATTCAGTGCCTACAGATGACTTGCGCGTAAACGAAGCCCATAGACAAGCTCCGCTGTCTAATTCTGACCCCTTTTTCGCGCGCATTTTGTTCAGTGTGGGACAAGCTATTTATCATGTCTTTTGAAAACCTACTCAAGAAAGTCCAATACAGGTGGCATTCACAGGAACGCATACTACGTTTGAGCAGAATCTCCAGAGAAGCGGGCTTGGACACGATTGCTGATGAAGTCGTAGATAAAGCGATCACCAATATCACGGGCTACCTTCGATTTTTCCTCGAAATGTGCTGCCCTACTGAAACGGTTTTCATTGGGTTTGACAGACTTTGTTCTCTTTACACCGAAAATCTGTGGATATGAAAGGAGAGGCTGTGAAACGTGGCGGATCCCCCTGTCATTGAAATATTCAAGCACCCAATCACGTCCGAAATACAGCCTCTAAATACAGCGTTAAGCCAGAAGTTTCCGTCTCGCGGGAATCCTTCCAATGTGTGAGATCGTTTACATGGCTTGCCGGTGGAAAATGGATAACAGAAGAAGCTTACCCTGATGCCTGAGCATCGAACCAGTCATTTATACGTTAAGAAGCTGATTTCATCCTTCTCACTGTCCATGGTCAAATGTATAGTTGCTTTTCTGGCTTCAACATGAATGACGTTTTTAAGTGTCTTAAATCCCTAAGTTCATCCCGAAGCCTATGTCCTTATGGTGTTTTGAGTACTATATACAGAAAGTGCGCAGACGTTTTATGTCGCCCTCTTACAGACATTTTCAAAAATGCGACACCCACTGCTCGGAAGAATAATAAATTCGCATATATGCCTAAGTCATCCTCCGGATCAAGTGCTCTATTTCGACCCTCCTATTTCAGAAGACAATGGAGAAATCACTTTTGCTTGTGCTTGGAAATTCATGGAGGACCTCCAGAGATCCGAAGCAGTTCGCTTGAAAGCGCAGAAGTACTTCAAATGTTGCCACTGCCTTGCGTCACAGTATTCTTTCTATCCCGGACAAAACTGCCAAGCACATCCGCAGTGCCCTCGTGAAATACACATAGGTCACCAACCCTGTACCTGAACCACTCCCATTAAACAAGCCTGCCAAACCTCATACTGAGCTATGGGCTGCAGAGTGACCGTATCCTTATTTTCCTTCAAAGAAGCAATCTACTGTCAATAAAAGGAAGAGTTCCACCTCGTTGCTTACTGAAGCCGGTATGCCTTAAGATAGGGTACTTTCTCTTTTTTTGCACCGCCTACGTCATCTTGCCGAAACCAATCTTATTAAGTATGCTGATGACCTGACGATTTCTGTGCCATTTAGCTCTCATCTAGGTTGCGCTGAATTAAATGATTTCTCATCTGAGACCGACCAATGGTCTGCCTCAAATGGTCCCAGGCTAAATCCTTCTAGAAATCGGGTTGTTAGCATCAGCCTCAGGCGCAGACAAAACTTGCCAGGACTACCTACGTTCCATAACTCCTTTTGCATTGACGGAGTTTTTGCAGAAAGCCAGTCATGTGTTGAAAATCTTCGGTTGAGTTTTGCTTCCAATCTTTGCCGGTCGTCCCATATCCAAGAAGATCTTTCAATTAGAAGGGTTAAATCAAGAAACCGAGGCTTGTTGGCATAACTATGCCTCCACTTTTATAATTTGTCAATTCCCTCATTTTGCATGTTCCTCTCTGTCATTCCTCGCTGATCTTTTCTGGTCTGCTAGAAAAGGACTGCGATACACTTCCTAGGGGCTTGAAAGTAGTCAGTAGTTCAGGTGCTGTGCCACCGGCTAGACCGATTAATCCTGTGATTAACACATATTTGAATTCTGGCAGGCAAATAGCCACGGTAGTTTCAGCTGACACTGAGTATCTATTTTATTCGCGACTCTCTCTTTGAGTCTCCTTGGGCGGAACAAGGAGAAAATAAGCGAGACTGTATGCTTGTACGACTAAGCACGAGAATTAGAGCGTGCTTTACATAGAATACAGTTTACTGAGGAAAAAGTGTTAGGGCCGGAAGCATTTATCAACCTCGCGACAACAAATAATCAAACTTTTCAACACTTTAACTGACAACATAAAATTATTGTGGTTACTGTCATTCCTTTCACCCTTTATATCGTTTGATGTAAAATATTCGAAGTGCTGTAAAGAAGCATATACTTACACTTGTTGCAAAATGAGACGGCGAAAATTCCAGATCCTACTGTTGCGGCAGATACACTGATTAGCAAATAACGAGAGGACTAGTTTTCAGAACTCGAAAACCCAAAGCGAAAACAACCAAATCCAAAACAATTAGCTGACAGACAACGAATGCATATTCAAAAAGTAAGTGAATCCCGTGAAAATTGTTTGTTATAACGAGATATATGTGCAGAGCGTAGCTACAAACCCCCAATTAAGACGGCTGCTGCAGCTTCTATCGAAAACGAAATACAGTGGTAACACGAATAGAAACAAAAGGATAAATATGGTTGCACAAGCAAATTGAAGGAGGTCAGACAAAGTGAGTGATCAATTTTTTTGAATACATTACAAGAACAAAGTCGAAACGCAAGCAACACCTGCTGAAATCGCCCTGAAGAGTGGCTGTTATCATTATTATTGAAATAGCACGATAGAAATAAGGCTAACCCCTCACGAATGCGACCAAAAATATGGGTCAAAAACCTGGTGTTGTGTATAGAAGATAGCTTCGGTTAAATTCATCGCCGCTTGTGTTCACTGCTGGGGCTCGTCAATGTCTACGCCTCTCCTCTGACTACTCTCCATGTTATTATGCACTAGTTACTACTCTGAACAAAATCCTGGGATAATAGCCAACTTCACAGGACGGTGATTGCGTGATATTACCATAAGAAGTGGTGAGATGTGATCTGATATTTGAGTGTCTAGTCCCGAAATCCCTTCAGGAACTGTCCCTACGCCAGCTCGACGGGCGTACAGGTCGATCACCAACTCTTTCTAGTTACAGAATACGCACGAGCGCGAGACCAAGACAGGACACAATATGGTAGCCAGGTGGGAATAGTACATTTGACAGACGGTGCCAAAATGCCGGTGCGTTTCCACCAACTGCTTAAGGGATTATATATGACCGACGCAACGTAGCACGATGTGTCATCTGGCGTGGATTCTCTACCGTTTGTCTACAGCTTAGATGGTCAAGGTCAACAGTGAATCCCGCTGAACTCTAGAACATTGAGTTGGGGAAGCCACCTGGTGCCATAGCCACGTATATAGATGACGTGGAGGCCAACTGCAGA